CTGCTGCTGCGGAGGGCGTTGCTGCTGCTGCAAATACCCTTTGTTGCGCTGTTGGTAGCCTTGATAGAGGAGAAAGAAAAGACACAAGCGGTGGCCCTCTGTGCATCCGCTGTTCCCCGCTGCTGCTGCTGCTGCTGCAGCTGCTGCTGCTCGTGCTGCTGCTGCTGCTGCTGCTGCGGCTGCTGCTGCTGCTGCTGCCACCAGCCAGCAGCGGGCCCTGCAGAAGCCGGTGAAGAGGCCGAAGGCTCCTCCTCTCGATAAGCTGCTGAGACAGAGGGGCCCCCTGCTGCAGCAGGAGAGCAGAAGAAGCAGAACCAAAGGGAGAGCTGCAGGTACACCCCAAAAACGAGAACAGCAGCACAAACAGCAGGGCTTGTGGCCTCATAGATAAATCAATATTAATTTAAAACGAACAATGTTGCTGCTGCTCTTGCTGCTGCAGCAGCAGCAGCAACACCCAGGCCCCAGACGCAGACGGGGTTCATCGAGCTGCTGCTGCTGCTGCTGCTGCCGAGCATGCGGCTGCTGCTGCAGCTGCTGCTGCTGCTGCAACAGCAGGAACACATACAGAAATAACCTGAGACACAATCTATGAATTTAATGTTTTGCTGCAGCATAAATATAAAGGGGTACCGACCCTTTTTCTTTTTCTGCAGCAGCAGGGTTGGGGGCCCCTCTCCTGTCGACGGGGGGCCCCCCTGGGTAGTGCTGGGCTCTACCGAAAGGTGAATTTGGTGTACATGTTGTGTTTATATTTCAATATAAATTTTTTTTTATTTTTTTAAAATAAAGTAAACAATAAAATCCTAGTTTATAACTGTTTCGGGGTGTATGTACCGCGACCAGCTCAGGGTGTTGTATAGGGCTGGCAGTGACACAGCCCGCATCGAGCATATCCATAAAGCGGAGAATATATTTTATTTTAAAGAATTATAATTGTTAAGAATAATATTTTTTGTTTTTTTAATTATTAAACTGAAGTATTCTGCATAGAGAAGATGATTTATACACCCGAAGCCCCTGGGTTTCACGTATAGGAAAGGGTTGAGCTCAGCTGTCTGTGTGCGTTTGCTGCCGATGCAGCTGCAGCAGCAGCAGCAGCAGCAGCAGCAGCACACGGTAATATATTTTGTATGAGGAATAAAGCGTTTATATTGCAGGCTTAGAGAGCAGCACACTGGGCTGCAACAGCAGCAGCAGCAAGCAGCAGCGGTGGCGGCAGCAGCCTCGGCAGCAGCAGCTCCAGCAGCAACTAGCAGCGAACCCCCAACAGCCAAAGCAGAAGCAACAGCAGCAGCAGCAGCAGCAGCTCCTGCAGCTTCTGTAGTGAAGCTGGGGTGTCGATACACCCCAGGGGCCCCGCCAAGAGCCCAATGGCGGGGCCAGACGGGGGCCCCCCAACTGCACGGCCTGAGGGCCCCGCAGCAGCAGCAGCAGCAGCAGCAGCAGCAGCAACGACACCTGCAAATCATGTTCCTGTTGAGGCATGGGATGCAAGCGACCCTGCTGCTGCAGCAACAGCAATACCAGCAGCAGCAGCAGCATCAGAGGCAGCAGCTTCTTCAGTACCCCCAGCAGCAGCACCACCTGTAGCAGCAGCTCCTCTACCTGCAGCAGCAGCAGCAGCAGCAACACTTGCAGCTGCGACGGTTCCCGATGTGGCATTGGCCCCAGCAGCAGCAGCCGTGGCAGCACCACAAGCAGCAGCAGCAGCAGCAGCAGCAGCAGCAGCAACTGTGTCAGCTGCTGCTGCCGACAACCCCGAGGGTTTCTTTCTGTTTGCTCTGGCGTGGCTGCTGGTAGCAGCAGCAGCAGGACTTGTGCTGCTGCGGCAGCAGCGACAGCAGCAACGCGAGAGGTAAATCCTCCTAAACCTTGAACCCTCTGCTGCTGCTGCTGCTGCTGCTGCTGCTGTTGCTGCTGCCAATACTGCTGCTGCTAATGCAGTTTTTTGCTGTCGCTGTTGTTGCTGCTAGTGCTGCTGCTGCTGCTGCTGCTGCGTGTGTTGCTGCTGTTGTGTTTAACAGGCAGTGCCGGCTCATGGGGACCTTCTCTTGACCCTGCTGCAGCGGAGGCTGCGGGGGCCCCTAGAGATGCAGCCAGGGGCCCCCGTGGTATCGGGGGGCCCCTGGGGGCCCCCGCGGTATCGGTGGGGCCCTGGGGGCCCCCTGGGGGCCCCCACCACTCGATTAGGGGCCCCTATATATTTATAAGTACCCAAAAGGGGTGACTGACCTTCAGGGGTTTACGGGTTAGGGTTTCGAGCTGAGGGGCTTAGGGTTTAGGGTTTAGGGTTTAGGGTTTAGGGTTTAGGGTTTAGGGTTTGCAAGGAAAGACAAATCCAATAGTCCAGCTGTCTCTTTATATGACAAAGAATGGAGGTCAAGGCCTAGGGTTTAGGGTTTAGGGTTTAGGGTTTAGGGTTTAGGGTTTAGAGGCATCGACACTGCAGTGCAAGGCTAGGGCAGTTTGCTGGTAGTCCCCCCGCAGCAGCAGCAGC